AAAGGCTTACGTACCTGAGGAAAAAATTGATCAATCGTGAGTTGTCGATGTGGTGCATCAGCGTTCGACTTGGACCTTTTGCACCATTTCTTGGGCTTGAAGAAGGTTGGGATTTTGAGCTGTCTGGAAATACCTGAAAACGGCAACGGTTCAAGACATTTGGACACATGAGCACTATTGCAGGCCAGTTGACTGTCACCTAACAGGGGGTTCGACACAGAGTCATCTGACCGTGGCACCTCGTCCTGCAGGGGTCTGTCGGCTAGGGCTGGGTGTGAGCCCGCATGAACTGAATGGCGGTGATCATGTGGCAAGCAGGGATCCCTTGGCGATGCAACTAGCAGTGGGTTCAACACGGCCTGTGAAGACAGCGGTACCTCTCCCTGCATGAGTTGCTCATGGGCATGTGCTGATGGCTGCAGTTTGGTTTGCAGAGGCATTTGCACAAGCATGGAATCATCCTGATCGGGTGACGCATCAAGGAGATCCTGAATGACATCAAAATGTGAGGATGCATCACGGTTGAGGGCCTGTGAAGCGGTTTGAGCGTCAACGTCGAATCCCTGAGGTGGCTGGACATCAATGATGGCATAGGATCCGTGGTAGAGACGCTTGGGTGCTTGGTCAGTGGCTGGCCAAAGGTGTCCATCCAACTGAACTGTACATACAGCAAAAGGAGACATACAGTAATGCCAGACAGCTGCAATGAGGAGAAGGCCGTCTCTGAGAACCTGCTCAGGTGCTGGTTGAACAAGGCGCACTTGGGTTGGACGGGACAAGTGACCTGTATAAGTGACCTGTATGAGCAGGATGGTGATAATAATTGATGTCAATTAAAATCAGTTTGTAATTCTGGTTGTATTCAATGTCACCGGTCCTTTGGGCAATGACAGCATGTTGACCTCTGGGGATGTCAGCTGGTCTGATGGGGACCTGGTGCAAGATCTCGAGTTGATTCAGGGGCACTGCAATGGCTTGAGAGACAGTGTGGGATACACATATCCCATGCGATGCAGACAATGTGATGGTATGGGTGGGACCGTCCAGTTGAAAAACATGAAGGACAGTCTGTGCGGCATGAACGTCTTCTTCATGGAAAAAATCACATTGGCAGTCGGGAGTCTCTTGCTGAGGTGGAGCACTGGATGAACTTGCACTGCTGGCTTGATTGGCATGTGCACCGGAGAAACCTGCATGTGCATGGTGCTGATCTGGCAGGGCACTACTGGAGGAGCTTGCTGTGGATGTATAAAACTGTCGGCGTTTCTTCCTCTGATCATCCTGGCTTGGGTTGGCATGGATTGTAACATGAAATGAATTACCATGTGACATACCATGGACCGGATGGTCGGAAACGGGTATCTCCTGCCAACGATGGGTGATGGTGCATCTACGAGAACGACACATGGGTGAGGCATCAGCGGCTCGAATGATGTCGTTGCCAGAGATTTGGGGGGAGAAACTGATGGCTACTGAATACATCTGGAATCGCATGTTGCTTCCAGGAATCACTGTGACCAAGCCTGCATACCTGTGGATGTGAATTGACTGGGCAATAACGACATCAAGGAGTACGGCACTATGATGCGGAGGTCTTGGTGGTGACGGCTGAATCACTGACACATCAAACCATTCGTCATCATCAAGTTGGTCACGCCATGCGGCCACAATCTGGTCTTCCCATGTTTGAGGGGGACCTTGCAAGTGGAAGATTCTCGGTGCAAACCATTGACGGATGGTGGCATGATCTAAAAACCATGATCTGAGCGGTACATTGAAGTTGGCATCATGGATGTTGATCCCTAGATCCCCAAAATTGGCTGCTAGCTCACGGATAAAAAGTGCATCAGCAGGGCCGGTGGGATCTGGATCGGGTAGATCTGCTCTTTCATCTTCCGCATCTGAATCAGTCTGTCGCAGATGCGCAATGGGGCTTTCAAAGTCACGTCTGAAACTGATTGGCACTGCTGAGTGGTGGCGGTCTGCATTTGTGGAGGCTTGCGCAAGATGAGTCTCGGAAAACGGATGCTGATCAGCGACAGTGCAGGACATCTTGGGCAATGGGCTTTTGTGGACAACAGACCCTTGGGGGACACAGTGGACATCTTCGGACCTACTGGACCATGCAGGCGTTGACGATGGCTCAGGCCGGGATTGCACATGCGGGCACTGTACAGGTTCAGCATCATGGTCAAACCTGGGACCCAGGGACAAAACGGGTCTGTCAGGCACAAGAGACTTGAACACGGACTCATGGACGACGTCGCGTGAACATTCAAACCAAAACTGTGGCATGCTACATGACCCAGGGTTACAAACCTCTTTGTCCAACGACATCAATGGCACCCTCCATGGTTTTGAACACAGCTGAGGCAAACCTGGAACTGTGACACTTTGGTAATAGCGCATGCCTTCAGGGTATTCCACAAAACTTTCCACAATGGGATGAAAACTGACGCATTGGTGAAACCGGTGAAAACTCAATGAATTGCAATGGGCCCGGTTTGAATCTTCGTTCAGACCTTGGGCAGCTGGATGGGCATGCATGTTGTGCCTGCGCAACGGAACCTGCAATTCAAAAGCAAGGTGGAAGGCTTGGTTTTGGGCTTCCCATTCTGACATGAAATCCTCTAATTGCAAAACTGAGTGATTCCATTTGAAAACCAAAGGGTCGATGCTGCTAAAGGGATCATGGGGCCAGTGAGCAATATTTTGATCTGTAATATTAGCTCGGCCTATCCAAAATTGGGCCCATCCGGTGGCAAGGCATTTGATGATTCCCCTCTTACTCCATCGAGACGGGGTCTTTTCAACGCTTTTTGCTCGTCTTCGACCATTTGGTCTGCAGAAGAACGCAGGGCTTCCAAACTTGTGTGCAAGTTGGTGATTCCTTCTTTGATCTTGTCGGCAGCATTGGAGTTGACCTCCTTGGTTATTTTGTCGGTTTCCTCGTCGCTCATGGCATCTTCCCGAGATTCTACCCCGGCTGCTGACTTGGTTGTCGCTAGGGTTTCTCGGGCTTGTTCCAAAGCTTCCATGGCTTTCTGAACTCTGTCTGTGAGCTGCTTTTCCTGCTCTACAAACTGATCGCTGTAGCCTTTCCATTGGGCAACAGCTTGTGTAAGGAAACCTCGCCATGCTGCATGTAGATGGAAATGGGCCAGGCGCGCTTGTTGGAGATCTCGTTTGGCTCTTCCATGCGCTGCAACTGCTGAGTGAAGCTGCTTGGTTTCTGCATGACCATCTTTCATTTCTGCATCGTTGAGCATGGCTTGGACTTCTGGAGGTAGAGTTTCGTTGTGCTTCTTGAGCATGGCCATGAGCGTTTTCAATTGCTTTTCTTCTGGGTTTGGCACTGGATGATTTGTCACTTGCTGCGGAGCCTGTGCCAAAGGAGTGAGCCAGGGTGTGTCTCCAGGCGACATGCTGGGGAGAGGCGGCGGTCCAATTGGAGGATCTGCCAGCTGCGTTTTCCCTTTTCCTTTGGCTGATGGAGTGGTCTCTGTTTCTGCCTTTTGGCCATTCCTTCTGTTGGGTCTCCTGCGGGGTGTCTGTCTTCTCCTTGGAGATTTGGACCATGATGGCGGCCTTTGCTGCTGCCATTGTTGATCCTCCCAATCTGCTTCGGGCTCCCATCCAGCAGTGTACGACCATTGGACTTGTCTTTGAGCATTGTTCGTCCCAAAGGTTGGGTCGGCACACAGATGCCAGGATTTGCCACAAACACCGCAGTATTGATGTGTCTTTCCACACACCTTCATGCAAGTAGCACATCGCCAAGCTTGCGTTGATGTATTCATCTTGCTTTGGAGAAGGGCTAATGCAGTCTGATCTCGGGAATGGTGCTGGCGCAAACGTGCAATTGCTTTGAAAAACTGTTGCTTGCTGATGTTCAGCCGCCCAATTTTGAACAAATGCAGTGATTGCCTTGCTCTTGCTCTTGCACGACGTTGAACTCTTCTCTGAGTTGTTGTTGCCGTAGTTTCCAATCACAAAAACTTGAAATAACAGTAATGCAAAAAGTAGACCTCGCACAGCAAGGGCACCGCTCATGCACTTGAAATCCAAGTAAGAAGATCCGCAACGATTGAGCTAAAAGATGTCCAGTGATGGGCTCACCGCAGAAGCCAGTTAGTGTTTGGAGCACTTGTTAAAGGTTCACACCTCCCAACCAAGAGTTTGAATCAACAGAAAAATCAATGTTGAATAAACAAGTTGATCAGGTAGGCCACGATAGCAAGGTCCAATGTGTAAGGCAAAGGTCGAAAGTGGATGATGAAGACAGCCGTCAGCCAAGTTAATGACAGTGAGGGCAGCTCCAGCACTATGACCCGTGGGCAACTACACCGAAGTGCTCACTAGGGTTTCGGATTCAGTCCAAAGCGACGGGGGGACTTGAACCGAGACACCTGAGCCCTACCCCTCTGAAAAATATGGCTTCGTCAGTTGGGGTTATTGTTCCCAACTGAATGGAAAGTCATAAAAGCCATGTTCCAAACCACCACTTTTGCTAGGTCTCCCCTTGTGATGGTTGATTCACAACTCAATTGGTTGAAAATCCCAAATCATCTCGAGTTTGGTGAATCTCCCAATGTTTGGGAAGGAAACGTTTCCAGCCCTAAAATGTATCATTGGCATTTTCATGCATTTTCACAAACTATTCAACTCATTCAATAATCACCACCACATATGGTGTCACCATCCTTTGGTCAAAGTAATCAGCGAAACTCTGGACCACAGTTTCACATCCGTGAGACAATCCTAAAACACCCAACCTTTGCATCGTGAAGCAACGAATTTCCCAAACTGTGCGTAGTTAGTACCCTGCTGCCAATGTCATGAGTTGATGAAACTCAGCCAAAAATGATTTCACCCCATTCATTCTCAGAAATGTCTGATTCATAGATCATAAAGGTCAGGTAAAAACCAGATATGTTGATATATTTTGTACACACAGCTCTGGAAAAATTCAGCCTGACAATCCATTGCGTTCATGGCACCTCAACACCAAAGTCTCGCCCCTCAGACTTCCTCGATCTGGTTGGTTGAAAACATGTCGTGTTGAAAACGGTGAAACAAAGCTCTTCACAATTTACCCTCCGGTAAACACACAAAAAGCTATTGAAAATGGCCCATTTATAGTTGATTTACCTATTAAAGTGGTGATTTTCCATAGTTTTTTTGTATGTTTACCAGAGGGTACTTGGTGATTGGTGAGAAAAATATTCCGAATTACACGTGGAAGCTCTGGCTTGGGTGCATCCTAAGCTCTTCTCGCCAGTTTCGGTAATCCAGCAATACACAGCTCAACAATCGCAGCGATTTTGATGTCACAAACTTGACAACTATATATACTTACCCATGTTCCCATGATATTCCCATGATTTCTCCAATTTGAATGATTGATCACTTCTGAACTGACTTCAGGTCCTCCGGTTCCGGCCTCCATAGGAGCAGGTGCTCCTAAGCTGGGCACAACGAAAAATCCTGAAAAAAATCGGGAAAAAGTGAATCTTCGGTGGTAATATACCCCAATGTTCGGTAGCATTAGCCCCACAAGTTGGGTAATATGGTTCAATATAGCCTATAATTTAATCAGGGTTAAGTTATATATGGTTATATAATATTACCTCATGACTTGGGCCTTATTCGGAAAAACTATCACAGCTGACCCCGAAATCACAAGGCTGGTACCTCATCGCCGAGTGCAAGTCATCTCTGGGTGATCATTGGTGGATCCCTGGCCCCCCTCAGAAAGCCCTGACCACAGCCCGATCGCAGACGCAGAGCACCCCATCATTTTCACCGAAATGAACAGGTCATCCCTCATCATCAGAGCTCACGTTCCAAGACTCCGGCAGTGCATCAACGTTGACGCATCGTACAGCTGAACAAATTGCGGGCAAGGCATTGGGATTTTGAGCTGACAGCCAAAGATTCTGCAAGTTGCCGAGCCCTGAAACCATGTTGGTCCATACTTCAGCAGGCAACTCCCTGAGATGATTCCCCTGCAGCCAGAGCTCCCGTAAGTTGCCGAGCCCTGCAAACAGGTCGGTCCAAACTTCAGCAGGCAGCTCATTCAGCTTGTTGTAGCCCAGGTTGAGCTCCTGCAAATTCCTGAGACCTGAAAAGACCTCAGCAGGCAACTGACTGAGCTCATTCCTAGCCAAGTCAAGTGTACGTAAGCTGCTGAGCCCTTCAAAGAGATTGGCCCAGACTTCAGCAGGCAACTCGCCGAGTTTGTTGTAACCCAGGTGGAGCTCCTGCAAGTTGTTGAGCTTTGCAAAGACTTTGGCGGGCAACTCATTGAGGGAGTTTAACATCAGGTTGAGCTCCTGCAGGTTCCTGAGCCCTGAGAAGGTTTCAGCAGACAACTTACTGATTGAGTTGTAACCTATGTCGAGCTCCTTCAGGCGGCTGCAGCCTGCAAAAACTTCAACAAACAACTCGCTGAGTTTGTTGTGGCTCAGTCCCAGAATCGTCAAGTTGCTGAGCCCTGCGAAAACTTCAGCAGGCAAGGCACTAAGCTTGTTTCCGGTCAAGTCAAGCTCGTGTAAGCTGTTGAGCCCTGAAAAGAGCCCTGCGAAGATCTCAGCAGGCAAATGACCAAGTGAGTTTGACCTCAGGTCCAGCTCCTGTAACTTGCTGAGCCCCGAAAAGATGTCCCCTGGCAACTCGGTGAGGCTGTTGGAACTAAGTTTGAGCTTCAGTAAGTTGCTGAGCCCTGCGAAGACTTCAGCCGGCAAGTCTCTGAGCTCGTTCTCACCCAGGTTGAGCTCCCGCAGGTTGCTGAGACCTGCAAACAGATTGACCCAGACTTCGGCAGACAAGTCATTCAGCATGTTGGTAAACAAGTTGAGACTTTGCAAGTTCCTGAGCCCTGCAAAGACTTCAGCAGGCAACACTCTGAGAGCATTGCTATACAGCCCCACTTTCTGCAGGTTGCCCAGCCCGGAAAAGATTTCAGAAGGCAACTCTCTGAGCGAGTTATCGCCTAGGTCCAGCTCCCTCAAGTTGCCCAGCCCTACAAACAGCTTGGCCAAGACTTCGACAGGCAACTCATTCAACTTGTTCCAAAACAGGTCCAGCTTCTGCAAGTCGTAGAGGCCTGCAAAGACTTTAGGAGGCAATGCACTGAGATCATTGCTGCTGAGATCAAGTTTCTGCAACCTGCTGAGCCCTGCAAACAGGTCGGTCCAAACTTCAGCAGGCAGCTCATTCAGCTTGTTGAAGCCCAGGTTGAGCTCCTGTAAATTCCTGAGACCTGAAAAGACCTCAGCAGGCAATGCGCGGAGCTGGTTGGAGTTTATCTCGAGCTTCCGGAGGTTGCTGAGCCCTGATAAGATTTGACCTGGCAACTCGGTCAGCTTGTTTGAACCAAAATCCAGCATCCCCAGCAAGGGAGTTTTATCAAAGATGCCATTTGGCAGAGAGTTCAACATGTTTTCGCTCAGATCAAGAACTCGTAGCTGCGGGCTGTGCTTCAAAAGCTCTTGCGGAAGTACTTTCAGCTCGTTTCCAACAAGGAACGGAAAGCCCTTCTCATCAGATTTGCCTCCCAGCAACAATTGCTCCAGAGCCAGCATAGGGCGCAGCAAGCCTTCTGGCAGCTCCTTCAAACCATTTTGGCTGAGCGACAAGATTCTCAAGTTTGACAAGCCCGTGAACGTGTCTGACTCCACCTGTTGCAAACCCAAGCGGCCCAGGTCCAAGAGTTGCAAGCTGTCCAACGGAGCGAACACCTTCGCAGGTAAAAAAGACAAACGATTGCCAGATAGCGATAGTCGTTGCAAGCTCCTTGAAGAAACGAAGGCATCCTCTGCAACACTTGTAATGTTTTGCTGGCTCAAACTCGTATCTTTGAGGCGAAGAATGCCTATAAGGCTGCAACTCGCAAGGTGTTTTGCACCATGATCCTTTTGGTGACAGCGGCACGGAAAGCATCCAAATTCAGTCGAGTGAATCGGGTAGAAGTGCGTCGAAAGCAATAAGGCAACAATCATGACCAGCAAACAAGGCGAATACCTCAGAAGCGGTTGCAGAAACAACGAAGAAACAACGGACTCGAGTAAACACATCCGTCAAAGCCGATGAAACGGGTTTACCAAATCTCAAGGGGATTGGCATTGAAGAAATACATTATATACAGGTATCCAAATGTACTTCGCACCCCTGGAACTATGTCCAGCCAGTATCTTGCAACTGTGCTTTGTGGAACCTCGAAATCCTACCATGAAACCGCTGATATTTTCAAGCTGAGATCTCAATGCAATCTCAACAGTGTTGGGAGACAACAAGTTAAGAAATTGGCAGGATGCCATAAAAGGGATATAACATGATATAAAGGGTGCAGCGAGTAAAGCCTTAAACAAAGGCTAACACACGCATAGCCCCCTCTGTACGAACATGTTCAGGGGCTTTGGGATACTCACGTGGAAAACTCTGGCAACAGCTTCGAAATCACAATGGATTGAAAACAACGAAAAGTATGAGAAAACCCATGGCAAAATGCAATGCTTTGCAAAATGTCCCACATCTCTTCGAGCAAGAAAATCTTGATGGGCTCAGCAACGATCGGGAAGCAAAGCTTGGAGAGTTTTGCAGTTTCTTCCAGTAAGTCAATCGATCCGTGCGCTCCAAGGCACGGCAAACAGTGCAAACATGTGCAAGAGAATAGTAGACAGCAAAGAAACCCAAAATATCAGGTGGGAATGCAAACGCTGGGTCCAATTCTTCTTGGAAGTTCACTGAAGCCTCATCCCCAAAATTTCCTGAAATGGCTTGGTCCAGCTCCAGCTCATAGACGGCCAGCACGGTAATGATGAGGTATGTGCTGGTGTAAGCAATATCAAGAACCGCATCCATGATCGCAGCCCCCCGGCGCACCCACTTCACAGAGGGGAAGGCCAACAAAATCGTTGGATAGACGCTGTTCAGACAGAGGAAACCCACGAAAGACCAAAAGCATCTTTCGAACACATCTGAATGCATTCGAGCTGAATGAAATGCAAACGACACGAGGGCACCCATGATTTGGAGCTTCCCGAAGGCCTGTAGCATCACGGTGAACAATTGCAGCATTGCAACTTTGAAGCCGTAGAGACTGCCTTCAATGCCAAAATATTTCTCGTAGAGCAGCTGGGTTGCTTTCAGGGGTTTCAATCTGATATTGGCTGAACGACACCGGCGCAAGTCGCTCAGAAGAACAATCATCAAGGCCAGGTATGGCAAAGAGAAAAGAATGGAAGGCAACAGCTGCAAAAGGCTCTCCTCCAACCATCCTCCAGACTCAGAAGTGGCAACCTCCGGCACCCTCTCATCACTGGGCTCAACTGTCTGCTTGAGAGCAAAGGCATCTCGGATCAATTGTGGAAGCTTGGAACGGATGAAAGGTGGACTATACCGCACAAAGTATTGCCCCCCAAGGTACGTTGCCGCAAGCAACGTGCTAATCCGAAGCAAAGCAACAACAACGACTGCCAATCGTGATTGCTGTGCTGGTCGCCCAGACATAAGCAAAGGATCTACCTGCAAACTGCCTGCCACAAGTCCCACCTGTTCTGCCAAGCGGTGCACATCATCCACTTGATTCTCCAGCTTTGTCAAAGAGGCTTCACGGAAACGGATCGTTGCTAAATAGTGGTTGATCTTGACCACCATCTCGGCACATCTGACACCAGCTTGGGCTGAAGCAAAAGAATCGTGAGTACGCACAATCTCGATGTCTCTCAACTCATCATTCTCTGCTCTGGTTTTCAGAAAGCACCACGCACTGAGCATTTTCTCCCAATCATCGAAGATTACATCGCAATACAAGAGATCTAAGATGCGGCTGGGTTCACCTTCTCGCACGACACTCTCTTGTGCCATTGGCAGTGTCATCAATACAGGTCGCAAATCTTGCCGAGATATGGAACCAGGCTGCTCCTCCAAGAACTCCCGCAGTGGGAGGCACAGATGTTTGTCAAAGTCGTCAAGATGTTTCTTGGCTTCGAGGAAATGTTCCGTCAAGCTTGTAATGTGAGGCTGGGCAAAATCGGCTCTGCCCCAATCACCAAAAAGCCTGGACATGTCATTCTGCAAGTTCTTTGCATACAAAGCTTCCGATTCGACCTCAAGCTTCTTTGACAGTGCTTGCATTTGGTTAAGCCGAGCTGTGGTGTAAACAATGCTGACAATTGCAATGGAGAGAACAATCAAAACAATCAGAGTGCCAGACACTCCTGTTGACTGAGAAAAGCTATAACTTGCAACGGGCAACAGGCTGAGAACCAGAAGAACCAACAAAAATCGGCTCTCTACCTCTGCCACTGCTTGTGCAAGAATCAGCACACTAAGCTCCACATTCTGACGCCAAGCATTTCCTACAACACAAATCCTCTTGAAAAGGCCCGACCAGCGGTGCTTTTCGCAATAGCCGCTCTCAGAAGAATGAAAAGAATTGCACAAAGGACGGCTGCATG